CAGCTTGCTACCTACAAAACAGCTAAAAGGAAAATTCGTCTGGGCAACCTGTAGACCCATCTACTCGTACAAGATTTCAGCTGCTCTGGTGGGTTGTTTTGTCTTACTAAGCTGGAAAACAGCTTGTGTGGGAAAAGCAGCATTTTGCACATATAATTAAGAAGGTAGGATACTCTATTTCTGGACATGCACAGTGAAGAGCTGGGAGATTTTGGCGCTTACTGAAACAAATAGCTTTTGAACATCTGAAATTGCTCATGAATATATTTTGATTACAGTGTGAGCATGGTAATAAAGGAGTCCCTTGAGAGAGGAAAGATTTGGATTCAAATATTAATATCGTTTGGCTGGGAACTGATTATCTCCCAAGCTAGAGCTGTTGGGTTTCCCATTGATAGATGGCAAAGAGTCAGAGTTGGGGTTGCCCTCTGCAAACAGGGTGCTGAGCCCCGCTTCAGGCAGAAACAACAGTTGTTCCCACACTGGTCGGTGACAACCTCCCTTTTTGCCTCCAGTGTGACTTCTGATTTTGATCCCAGACCCTTTGCATTTCACTGTTCTTTCGACTCCTTGACTCCTGTAGGCACCATTGGCGTACGCTACAACTCCAGATCCTGGCACCGCCTGACAGTTGAGATATCCCTGATACCAGTATCAGGTCTGCTAACACAGGGAAAGGAACTGTTTTATTGCAGTGTGTCTGTTTTATTGCACTGGCTGGTGGAGTTCAAGAGGAGCCAGACCTACAACCAAAAGACTTTTCTTCTTTTTAAAGGGGTTCTGAAACTTTATTCTGCTTTTGTGGATAGAGACAGAAGTCTTTCTCTCCATTTTGTGCCCTGTGAGCAATGACTGGGTTTGTGGACATAGTCAATACTTGCTATACCATTGCTAATTCTGCCAGCTGCATCGTAAGTGTTTTTATAACCGATGACTTTTTGTTGTTGTTGTTCAAGCCCACTTCTTGGGCCAAGATTTTTAATATTTTGTTAAAAAATAGACACCTTATTACCGGAAAAAAAGCTGTAAATGAGAAGCCAGACGCCCTTGAAGTCTTAGCACTCAGTCAGCATTCTCCCCCAAAGTGTCCACTCTTTTTTTTTAATTCACAAATTTCAGAACAATCTGATGATTTTTGAATCTTTGGCACTGTCAAGGCTGATACTACATTAGTCTTTTAGAGCTTCAGGTATTTTTTGAATGTTCTGAAACTGCAAAACAGTTCCCCCATCCACAATGTGAGTACAGTTCATAAAAAAAAAATCCATTAACATTAATGAGGTAGTTAAATAAAAAAAACACTATAGAAAATCTCTAAAAATTATATAGCTGTTTTTCTGCTAGTAGTGACTCAGCCACTGTTTATAGAAATTCAATAAGTTTCTTTTACAAAGCTAGGATCAGAGCATTGAAGAACAACCAAAGCTGAACCTTGGCCTCTGTTCCTTCAGAATTGTCTTTAAATGAAAAAAAGAGGAAAAAAAGGAAAAGGTTTGCACTCTAATCAGCTTCAGCAACTTCTCTCTCCACAAAAGTTGAATGGTTTATCAAATATATTGTGCAGCTTCTTCATCCATTCAACAGAGACAAATCTACCTCTCACTTCTTAAACATTACTGGGAAACATTACGTGAAAACAATGTAAAAATTAGAGAACACGGTAGTGCCACCATTTTGTGTGGTCTAATACAAAGTGTACACTCTGATATAGTCAGCAATTAAATAGCTGTCAGTTGGTCTGCAAAATTAAAGCACTCTGATCCTCTGGATCACTTGTTTACCCATATCCATCTCTCTGTGTAGCACAGTGAAGCTTATTGAGTTCATCCAGGTTGCTAACAGACATAAAGTCAAAGCACCCAGGAAAACTAGGAAAGGGCTAGGGCAGAGTTCAGAGTCAACTGAAATGATTTTGCCTTTGAAAAACAAGGCATGCATATCTAATAGTAAAATTAGGATAGCTTAGCAAAATGAAATATATGTAGGTATATGTATACATTCTCATGCTAATAATTAATTTGTCTTGTAAAGGGTAAGCACTGCTGAAAGTACTTTAAAAAAATTGCTAACAACCTCAGACAGAGGTTGCTGTCAAATAGAATAGAACTAACTGCGATGGAGATCTGTAGCAGTAATTGATATAAACATTGACATTAATGCTGAGATACTTACATGGAAGAATTCAGCACCTCATAAACCTCTTTCCATGCAAAAACTGACCTTTTAAGCTAATGACAGAGTTGCCTCTCTCTTGCATGGGAACTCAGCATGCCCATCACCGCTTTTTCCCCAACTGCCAGAACAAATCCCTTTTCCTCCTTATTCTATATCCTTTTTAGGACAGTTGCAGCTCATAATAATGATAAAACAATATCAAAATGGAATACAGTTAGTTCTTTAATCAATAAAACGTCCTTTCCTGAGTCTTGTCTGAATAGTTTGTGCTAGAAATTGGCTGAGATCACTGCAAATCAGTATAATAAAATGGTGATGACCAGTTCCTTTGTAGAAAATGAAGCAATAAAGAGCTTTTGTGTTAGCTTTATGTTTTTATTGATAGATACCATACTGGAGACCACACACATTACCGTTATATATGAGAAAAAACATAGCTGTTTCAACAGACGAAAAATAAAGTGCAGTTGATTTCATCAGCTCCTTTAAGAGGACTGGCATCTGGACCACATGCACTTCAAAGTCAAATGCTGTACTGAGATGTGCTGCTTTGAAGTACAGCTGCTGATCCAGACAAATTTTGGAGCCTAAACCAGCATATGAATCTGCTGTACTCTGAAAAAAAAATCTATTTCAGATGCCAGTTTTGACTCATTTTAGAAAATTGCTGTCTGGATCGGCTGAACTTCAAAGCAGAACATCGCAGTGCAGCATTTCCCTTTGAAGTGCAGCTAATCCAGATAGCGGGCTTTCTCTCCCCCCCCTTTTTTTAAGTAGTTAAAATTGGCATCTGACCTTACCACTATTTCTCCTCACCCTCTGCACATTCTTCTTCCCTTCTGCCTTATTTCCTCTTCTTTTGACCTCTCTGAAAAATACAGCAATGCTATCTTGTCAGCTCCTGCATTACCAAAGCTACTATAAAGAGGATGGTTGTGGGAATAATGTATATCAAGTCACATAATGGACAGTGGCCAATTACTGCACATGGCTTGTCATAAAGTTTGTTAATAAATAATGCTTAATTTTAGCATCCAAGAAAAACAAATCTCAAAATAAATCCCTTGTAAATGTTTGTATTCAGAGTATTCATAACCACATTTCCACCGTTCTGCTAACTCTTATTAATGGTCATTAGCAGTGGTTTAAAAAGTAGCTGAGCTTAATAGTATTTCAACTTTAAGAAACTTGAAGCTATTCTGTCACAGAAAGTTCTTCTTCACAGCCAAGTCAGGAAGGCCTTAAGAAAATGGTTTTGCTGGGGAAGGATTACTACAGGCAGAGTTTGCACAGGGGAGCCAAGGGTAAAGGCAGTGCACTCACCAGGACAGGGCAAAAGAGGAGCTAAGACCTGGTCGGCTCGGAGGATATCCCTGCAGTGGAGTTGACCATGTTTCAAAGCAATCTCTTCCTTACCCCAGTTGTTGCCAGTTGCACAATGTAAGGGAGGCCAAGGGGAAGGGATTTCCCTCTGGAGAAGTGCAGAAAAGTCAATAAATTATTCTTCTCTCTTAGTAAAGGCAAATCAGAAAACGTGCTCTTCGTGTTGAATATAATCACGGTGCTGGCTGCGCTACCAACCACCTACTAAAGAAAAGTCTTGAACAGACTAACAGCATTCTCTGTTACAGTGGCCTGTCTAAAGGTTTTGAGAGGTGCTGAATCCTGCTGATCCATTTTTACAGATGACTCACTAGATCCTCGCAGGAGTAAACCTCCGAGGAGAAGGAAGTAGGCTGAAGTAGGTCCTCATGATAAACCTGGAGGGACAGGAACATCTGGTTTTACAAATAAAACCAAATCCTGAAAAAAAAAAAAAAAAAAAAAAGGGTAAGATCTAGCCCTGGACAGCATTTGTGGATTGTATTTGGAAGAGACTTATTATTTCCGGAGTACCTTAAGTCCTGCCAAAGCAATGTCATTTTGCAGACAAAACGTGGAAGCAGGGTCTGGAGCACATGGAGAGCCACAGCACCTGCTCAAGCCATGTGCGCAGGTAAGGGACAGGGTTTTTCCTAACCCCTCTGTGGTCAGACCTCTGGAATTGGCATCCTTTCCTCACCTCACAGGTCACGGATGAAGGCAGACAATGTTTGTGAGGCTTGACAGAGAAGCCCAGGAGGAAATGAATTGCTACTTCTCTCCTCCTAGCAGGGAGGGGAGGAAGTAGGATCCATGTCCTTACACTGGACAATGTAAATCGGCAAAAGAGAAAGTAACTGCTTATCTTATGACTACAGCCAAATGAATGAAAAACGATCATGCATTTTAACATTGTCATAATCTATATTCATCAGAAATCTGGAGTTATGTTAGAGGGCCACCCTTTATTCTGACAATTCCCAATTTCTGACTGAGTGACTTTGCCACTCCCAAGATCTTTCAGCAATGCTCCCGTCATATATGCACATAAGGGATGCTTCCATTTGCTACTAAATTAAAAGGTGAATCATGAAGAAATGTTGCACTCTGATCAAACTGCAAAGACAAAGCAAAAAAACCCACCCAAATACATGCTGGCACATGAGGACAATTTAATGACAGCATCTCTCATTTGCTGAGAAATAACTCTGGAGAGAGAAAGGACCGGACAATGACCAGCATTTTATTTACACAGGTCATGAGACATGTCACTCGGGTGATCTGTTCTTGTCAGGCAGTCCTTAATTAGAAAATTCCTAGAGAGAGCTCCTGCTCCCACTAGGTGCTTATTAAAATCTAAAGACAAAAGGAGTTAGTAGGAAAGCCTGAGGAATGGACGGAGAACTCAGGTTACACTGGAAGGCAGGAGTCAGCTGCTGCTAGCATAGGGAGAGACACTCAGGATGGGATGCTGGATTTTGAATGAAAAACTCTCAGTGCTGTTATTAGTGAGTATTTTTAGCTTTAAAAAAATCTAATTGGATATATATAAATATTTTAAGCTTGTTTAAAAGACGTTTTATGGTTTGCTTACAGTAATACTCCCAAGCTTAATGTAAAACTTGCTATAAAATATTCAGCAGCCTTTTTATAACTAGCCTTAAAAACAATTTAAAGTCTTACTGTTTTATTTTTAATTATTTTTAAGTCTGTGTACTTTAGTCCTCAGATAAAGGGAACAGGGGTTTGCAATTGTAATTGAAATTTTATTCTGAGTTATTTACAGAGGCTTTGGTGAATTGAGTGTGGGGGGCAGAGAAAGGAATTTCTTCAGCTCCTAACTCCCTCCATTTCTGGAATTCTTTAATTTTAGCTTTTATTGCCTTTTCAGAGACTAGGCTAAGCTCTATGTTTAAGATCAAGTTTACCATCACACAGTAAATGTCATCTATATCCTCTACTGGTGATGTCGGGATAGGACTGTAATCCTGCATTTGCTAAAAGATTGCCTCATTCCAGCAGGCATTTGTGATTTCTATCATCTGTGATCAAGAACTGCATTGCAGACTGATTTTGAAGTATCTCTCAGATCCTTTTAAAACTATAAACATAACCAGTTTTATATGCGTTAAAAAATACTGTAAGTATCACTAATCTGTAGCCTGTCTGGTTTGTAGCTGGTGTGGCTGGGACTGAATTTCTATTTGTTTATTGATACCTTCCACTGGTATGAAGACGAAGATGCTTACATTTATACACGGATTATGCTGGGAGTAAGTACGAGTTTGATTGCTAAAGGGCTCCACAAGAAGAATGTATGCACAGTCTGATTTTATTTACATCCTTCAAAGTTATATTTTTGATGCTTCAAGGATTTTCCCATATAAGAGTATTACGTTAATATAGTATTTTCTTTCTTTTGCTCTTCATATACCAAGCTTGTAATTTAATTTCTTTATACTGTTATACGTACAGTCAACCCTGGCTTGGGCAAGAGCTTCTGCAACGTGCCTTAATTTTAACTGCATGCTAATCCTGTTACCCGTCAGTAGAAACCTTATTTCATTCTTAAGAGGAGCAAGCATTGTAAGTACCATTTCTCAAATAGCCGTATTATCCTCCCTTTTTTATTTCTGTAGTTCAGCAGTATTATCCATATCAAACATTTTCCAAGGAATTTTAATTTTTGATAGAGTAGTCTATACACTATTGCCTTGTTATTACCATGTAAATTGTCAGTATTCATGACTGAAGAGAAACAAATGGCTTGTTTAACACAGTGCTCTAAATGCAACACTGATTTTGGCAGCCGCTGCATAGCATGGTGTCATGAAGTGAAAAGTGAGGAGCTACAAAAAAGGGACGTAATAATGCAACTGGGCCAAACGGAGAAAATACGTATCCATCATGTGTATCCTGTGTAGCTGCAAAGGAAAACTGGAGAGAGAAAATGTACAGATAGTTCAAAGTGTCATAAGGATAACAAGGAACATGTTTAAACCCTTCTGTCTGAATGGCCACCATCCAGGTCTTCCTTTCTTGCAAACATGTGTTTGTGTAATGGAGTGGTCATCTGCTCAGAGGCATTTACATTAACCTGGGCATCACGCATAGGATCTCTTCTAGCTATAGCTTCAACTTGCAGTGAATTACTACAGTCAGAGCGATTCCAATACCACATGTTTGGGTAAAAAATCACTGATCACTTCATGACTCCAAGAACAGGAATTTGGAAATCGTAACATTAATTTATTTTATTGTAAGCTGGTTCTTATTTCAGTTCTGCCTTTTTTTTTCCTCTTCAGAGTTAGGGTTACATTTCAAGCAGTCTTTAGGCGGGGAATCAACACTATTTTGTAATTGTTTGAGTCCGGGAGCTAAGCATAAGCTAAAGTCTTGTTGCACTTCTGAATCAGTTTGTGAATTAACATGAAATATAGGCATGCCCACTTAGTAAGAACTCAGAGAACTGGAACTCTTCACACAGATAATCAATATTTTGCACTTCTGGACAATATTCTGCTCTTGAGGAGCATGGAACAGAGCAACTTGACTGGCTCCAGCATGGTCGGCACAGGGCTGGATCCAAGTGACTCTCCGAGGAGGTGCTGCATCTTGGCATTGCACCCTGCGGTGCTCCAGATTTTTGTAAGATTTATGAGCTGGGGAACAACGTGGATAAATGCCAGGATCTTTGGCATGGCACTGTGCCAGGTCAAGTGAGCAATCCAGACACCCACAACACCTTTCAGAGACCGAATTAGGGCCATGAGGGCTGCCTAGCTTCCAGCAGAGTGTGTTAGTTTTGGCTCACCGCAGCCGGCCCTGGCCCCAGGCTGCCTCTGTGCAGAGGCACCCAGCTGCCCATGAGCACACCACCATCGAGTGCTTCCAATAAGGGGAAGACAGCTCAGTAACACATAAGTATGCAGCCACCTGAGGTCTAGACAGCCTCACCCTCCTGGGGCGTGCATTTGATGAAAGCAGTGAAAATGTTTTCATCGCAAGCTGGCTTTGCCAGGAGTTCAGCTGCGTTCATGCAGCTTAAGCCTGAGGTTGCAAAGCAGTGGTGGCCCAGCCTGGTGTCCTTATACCAGCAAAGAGTTAATTACCAGCCCAGATAAACCACTCACAAATCACAGCTAAATGTAGCAGAGTTTTATCAAACCTGGCCGAATAGCTTAAAAATCCTGGAGTGTCACTATGCTGAAAAGAGTTACCTGAGCCCCCAAGTTAGGGGCTAACACAAAACCTCCACTGAATTCCTTCAACATTCCATTTTCAAATGTACTGAACTCCTCTCTTCGCCTCTCTTCACCTCTCCAAAATGTGAGTTGTAAATAGTAATAGGAATGATATAAAAGAAGTTCTGCTTTTTCACCAAGTGCTGTGGAGGAGCACTGAGGAGACAGCTTGACAAAAACATCGCATTTCACAAGATGGTTGCCTACGGAATAGCTGTAAATGCAAGTAAGCGCTTTTTTTTTTTTCTTCTTTGCCTTTGAACTGTTTGGAATTTCACAGTGATTCTGCCTAATGCTGTAATCCCCATCAGCTCCGAGACGTGCTATTTTAGTGCAATCACTTGGTGACTGCAGCTTTAAATAGGTGCAGGAGTCCCATCTGATTAACCATTTGTAATCTTTTTTGCTTAAGAAAACTTTGACTGTTAAGTCAATAAACTTTCAACCTGGATAGTAACTACTAGTTGCCATTTAGTTAACGTAACCAACTTGTGCTCTTAACATTTAGTGTAAATAACTTCATTAAATCCCTGAAAGTAGATATTTGGGGAGATGACATAGCATTACAGTCTGATTTCCTAAGGAAATGGTGCTTACGAGTCACACTGCTCATCTGTCCACCGCTACATCTTCTTCAATAATTCCTAAATAATAAATGAATAATAAATTCCTAAATGTCTGGGTTTGTTTTTTTTTTTTGGATAGGTGATGGGTTCATGGAACTAATTGCTCCCTTGAGGGGAAAATCTGCATCTTGAGATCAGAAGTTATCTGTTCTGCTGGTCCTAGTGACTTACTGAGCTATAGGTGTTTGTTCGCATGGCTGGGAAGAAGACATGGCACCTTCCTGTTCCCCAGGTGGTTAAAGGACCTGGAGAAGACTGAAGCTTGTAGGAATTGAGAGGACGTGAGGGGAACGGGAGACAGCGTGGGGAAGAGGGATGTGCAGAGAAGGAAGAACGAAAGGCAGTATGAGGAAGCACATAGAGATGGAGAGGTATCTGGCCAGAGGGTTCTCTTAGAAAACGTGAAGGAGGCACAGGAGTTAATCAGGGCTATTTGCAAGCATAAGACATTGCAGGGTAACAGTTCTACCCCCAGGCTGTCAGGGTGGATCCTGGTCCAAATATTTTTTTCAGCCTACACGAGGCAGCTGCTTTTGCATGTATAGGCTGTTAATTTCCCCATGCAGTGAGACAAGAACATGAAGTCAGGATTGCCATCAGGAATCAATAGGTAAAATTCATCCTTTGTATGTAGTGCTAAAGAATTCAGAGGGGAAGGCTGGGGGATGAGAACATATATCTTACACTGTATTATGATGATTTACTTATCTGTCATGTCCATTCATTTATCAGAGTTCAGTTTCAGCATAAAGCAGATTCCTACAGAACGCAACACTGCTTCTTTAATTAACAAATCAACCCAGGAATGTAAATTAACCAACTTCTACTTGGTGTATAATTTGTCATGCTCCAAAAAGAAAGCAAAACTGCACAGTCAAGCCTTTTATGTTTTTGGTTTTTTACATTCATATAAAAATGTTTGCTAGTGCATTAAGGTGGACAGTTTGGGAAGTGCAAGTCTATCAGAAAAGTGATTACTTTATGGCTTCAGTAATTCCAAGAAAAAAGACACAGTAGCTGATGTGAAATGACAGAAAGCACCATTATTTAGTTCTGTCACTCTCTAGGGAGAAAATGAGGGTTTGTTGTTGGGTTGTTATTTGGGCTGGGTTTTTTTCCAGAACGTAAAATGGACAAATAGTTGATGAGATATTTGAGGAAGAAAACAAAATACAGGGAAGCCTAATGAACAAAACATGACAACTTATGTACTCATGCTTCCCTAACAGACAAGTATGAAACAACTATCATACCTGGGAAAACACTACATCACTGTATAGACAGGCTTGGGTAAAGAATGGCCAGAAACTCAGTTGCCTGAAATTAAATTTCAAATTCATAAACCCAATACAATCTATAGCACACATTGTGACAGAAAAGCAACGTTTCAGAGTAAAGAGGTACCCACAAGTATATTGAGTTCCTTTTTATAAAATCTAACAGTGTTAAAATAATGTGTAAATAGGTGCCATTTTCCTCTCAACTGACAGATTATTTATCCAAGTACTACCTATATTGCCTTTTGTTACACAAAAGCATAGTCAACTCCTATTAGTCTGTTGCAATTTAGTAATCCTTAGTTAAATTAATGTTCTCCCCTGTATGATCAATAGCCTAAATGTGGCAGCAAGAAGTTAAACCAATTTGCAGATCAGATCAGCAAGCTTAGCCTCACAATATAAAATTGTAGACTCCTTTATTATTAAAGTAACATGTATTCATCTCAGCTTGCCAGGTGGTGTTATTCCAGTGTATTTATTTAATAGCATGCTAAAAATAGTCAGTGCAACATTAGTATTGTCTGGCTTCTATCAGGCAGCCAGCTCAGCTGAGGTGCGCGTGGCCTTGGAAAAAGTACATCTGTACCTTTAATTTTTCATCATCTCTAATACAAATTCAAGAGCAGGCTTTAATTGGTCAGGTCATAAAGGGATATAATTAGAGACTCGTGGAAGGGGGAAGTTGGAGGGAAGAGAGAGAGTAAACAATGCTATCTATAATCAAGGGCATCATTGAAAATTCAGTAAAGGGAATTCTGCTTAGTTTGGCTTCCTGCGTTCTGCATGCCTGTCTGTGATAAGAGCTGTCTGGGAGTTATTCACCCACTAATAAATCTTCCTTATAGACCTGTAACTCTGCTAGAATAAAATCATAGTTTCATGCACTCTCAGTTTGATCAGTGCAAATTATTCTGTGCTTTCTAATGCAAAAGAGACTTTCCGGTTGAGAGGCAGTTGTCTGAAACCTAAAGATATCTACAAGAGATAGTAAATCAACATTTTGCACAACTCCTCCCTCTTACTATTGTGCTTTTACCCTCTTAAGAAAGTATATTCATACATTTTCTGAACTGGGGAGTGTTGGGGAGATATTTTAATTTTTTTTTACTTTGACATATACTGCATATTTTGCAGAACAAACTGCTGCTTGTGTTGTTCTGATGTTTGCGGAAAGTTTATATAGGTATATTGCTCCAACAGCCTTTGAATTATGATATGAATAAAGCTTAAGCAATTAAGGGAAAGTAGGGGAAGGACAGCGAGGTTCTTTGCAGTTAGGCTGTTTGAAATGGTGGTTCTTGCTCCGTAGAAGTTCCAGCAGAGCAATTTTCTTTAAAAACATGCAAAATGCAGACAGAAGTATAGTGATACCAGGTGTATTCAGCTTCTGACAAGCACTGAAAAATCTATAGCTAAAAATACTAGAAAACCTTTCCATATTCAACCCCATTTTGGTAGTGGTGGCTATGTGAAGGGCTTTGGTGAGCTGAGTCACATTTCTGTGCAAGCGATGTTTTCAAGGAAGCAGATGCTTATCTTCAAAAGAGGTTTAGCTGATATCTCAGTGTTCTACTTCCAGAAACTACAGAAAATCAAATTTCCATGAAACTGCATTTTTTTTCAGTCAGATTGTTTAAATCCAGACTTAGTGCAAGTACTAGGAAGGGAACTACATTAAATTAAAGATTATAAGCTTCCACCTAGGATAAAAAATTGTCCAAGTCATACTCTTCTTTGATGTTTATAACCATTCTTAAAAAGAAAAAAAAATCCAATGCAAGTATGTATGTGGTCACTGTTGTTGCAATTTTTACATAACCTGCACTTTTTCAGTCCACAAACACAGTGTGAAGCTGAATTAAGGCTTCTGTGTAACTAGAAATGGCACAAGGCAGTGGGTGGCAGAAGAACCCAGGCTTGGTCAAAGGCAAAATTCCCCGTGCCTGGATTAGCTGCTTGCAAAGCCATTCTCTTCATTGTGGGCAGAAAGGCCAGAATTTGACCCTTTGATTTTACCATGATGGGTTGGTTAACCAAAACATTTAACTGCTAGCAGCAAGCTCCAATTTGATTATTATCCTGTACAGGCATGCAGAAAAAGAGAGACTGAAATCTTGTCCACAGATAAACACATGCAATTTCTGTTTAGTTCAATGAGAGTTGTGCATGCTTCACTGAAGGCACAATTGGCTGAATAAGACCAGCTAAATTGACCAGACTTTCAAGATAATTTAATTACATCTCTTTGTATTTAAGAATACGTACAGCAAACACCATGCTCTAATAGCAACCCTTTTCCTCCCTCCCTCCTTCCAATAAAACCTTTTATTTGATCTCAGAGGTGGACTAGATAGAACATCTTGGGGTCAAATACAAATTAATGTATGTTAAGTGCTTCAGAGGTTCCAGATGTTGTTAAAAACAACAGTCAAAATTCTTCAGTCTTCATGCACAGTTATAAAAAAGAACTTTGTTTAAAAGATTGCATGATTTATTCCATACTTTATATTTGGTCATGCAGAATGAGGAAAAAATTGAACTAAAAGTCCTCAGATGTAGTACCTTGAACTTTGCCCTCATGGTTAACTTATCTAAGTGGTGAAAGGACAAAAAGCCCAACTTTTGTTAGCTCAGATCTCAGAAATCTGCATATTAATTTTGGAATTGCTTAGTAAATTCTATACAGTGCAGATGCAGAGACTTTCAGAAAATGCACTTTAGGGATGTAAAATATTTTAGCTAATGGCAATGTATCCAGTGCCAGATTTTTTAGTCTGCTACAACTATTGTACATTAAATGAACCACACTGAAAATGGAATTAGATCTTTGCATTACTCTTTCCATCCAGCTATAATTCATTTTTAGATTGCATCATTTTTTTCCTAGCAGCACACAAAAAAACCATCAGAAATATTAATCTAATAACACTCCAGGCAGTATTTAAGATCATGAGAGACTCAGGTAAACCAACATATTCAGTACATCATTAGTTTGAATGTTAATATTTTTCAGTGTATCATTATACTCTGTACATTAACAGCTACCACAGATTAGCTTGCAGGAAAAAAAAAAACAACCTCTCCTGTTGATTCTGCAAGTCTTCTACACTTGTAATACCCTCTACCTGGAGGGAATGTCACCCAGAAGGGAAGCTGTGGTAAATTCCAAAGAAGAAGGTATGATGATGCTGTTGTCGGCAGCAGCACTTACAGTAAAGCAGAGCAATATGCAGATGGACAAAATGGTGTCCTTTAATAGCCTGCAGAAAAGTCTTACTAGGTTAAATTGCAGAAAGACGATCTCTTCTTCCAGGGAAAAGTTGCAACGTGACTACTTTTCATTAACCCTCAGGCGCAAGACCTTCTTGGGAAGCTATATCTATTCAAACCATTTTTTTCTTGTTCAAGACTAGAAATACTCTGTTAGGAAATGTGGACCTCTGGTTGTCTGGAAGAACCTACCACCTCATTTCACCCTCGACACTCAGCATATACCAGATGGCACTTAGGTTTCCTGTCGCTGCTGACATGGCTAGAATTTGTACAAATCATGCACAATCCTGCACTTTGAGGAAAGTGTAAGATTTTGTAGCCCTTTAAACAACAGAAATGCCATCATTTCACGTGAAGACTTCATAACCTGCAGTATCACTTTTTAAAAAATCTGTGTGTTTTGAAGGTGAAAAGGAGAAAGTGTGTTATGCTATGAACACAGATTCAAGCCTCTACCTCTAGTCAATGTTGCTGTTTTACATGAGCAAGGATAGCCCAAAACCTGCAGTTTATATGCTGCAGGGAAGCCTTGGTAAAACAACCCTGTGGATGGCATCAGCGTGCACCTCATGTGGCCCGAAGGCTAGGGTGGCTATTGCATCATATCAGAGTTATAAAGAGCTTCCTGCAGGTATAGACGACAAGCGGCACAAGTATCGTTACTGGTTGCACCAGTAATCACTAGTGGATGCCAAGATACAACTGCTCAGTGAAAGTCCACTCAGAGATTCATTGTCAGGGTCTTCCATCCTTTGAAAGTTTTCTCTCCTCTTTCCCATAGTCTGGTGCCGGACTACATGCAGCATGTAACCCCACAACCTACCACAGGCAGCAGTCTGTTACCCCACACTCCTGTCCTCCCAGTGAGCTCTTTCAGATGTCAGAGAAATCAGGTCCTCATCAAGCAATGACTTGGTTCCCATCCAGCTGGATCTGATAACATCCTTACCAGGCCAAAACATCTGTTCTGAAAGGAGCCCCTTGCAGGAACAGTTCTCCCCCTTCCCACTCAGCATTTAAAAGTGCTGTTACACTTAAATACATAAACAGTGTTTATATACTGCTTATACATCAGTTGTACGCTGGGGAACAGATTGCCACAGCCCCCACACAGCTGCCACCTAAACCCTGCAGCTCAGAGCCTCTCGGGCTTTGGGGCTTTGGCAGTCTGAATCCTCACATCTCACTTGCTGCTTGTGCTCTAGCATAACCTTCCTCCCAGCCTCCTGGCCCTCCCGAGGTGCCAGGAGCACCCTCTCACATGCAAGCCTTGGGAAGCATCTCCCACCTGATGCTGGCCAATTTGTTTCACATGCAGGACCTAATCCATACCAACATATGCAGGACATGCCAGGTGACTGAGTCCAATACCCTCTAATGCTCGCAGTCACATCATATATGCTATTTCATAAAATGACCAACCTTCAGCCGAAAGCTGCTTAGATTGCTTGATCCCATTATCCCATTTACTGAAAGGTTATTTTAGAGTCTCATTCCTTTGATGGCTTGAATCTGTCTTCTAATTTCCAGGCTCATTTTATCTCTGTGCAGTTCATACCCATTTGGATTCAGTCTCCATTCTGCTGAAGCTATTCCAGCTTGTATAAATAATTTATTATTCATTGGGCCAAAGATTCAGAAAAAATGGGAGCTTGATTTTTCAGTTTGGGTGCTCAGGATACTCGCTTTGGATGCCTGTGTCAATAAATATTTTATTATTTTTATTAAGGGTTTCATCAGGAGATGGCTCACAAGAGAATAACCAGTCAGCCCAGTGACGAGGACATGTGATTTGGTTTAAAGCCCTACTTTAAATTTAATGTAACAAGGATTTTAAAATAGGTCTTTCATCTCCCAGTAAGTATCTAAGCATGGGGCAATGAGGTGAAGCAGGTGGTAGGGAGTGGCAAGGGGGAGTCCCTAAGTTAACGTTGTGTTTTAGACGGAGGGCAACCTGACAGTCAATCCACCGCAACACATCACTTGCTCTAGAAGGATCACCTCAGAAGAACAGAGTGAAAATAACCTCTCTCCAGTCTGGACATATGGGCTAAGCAACTGCTGAGGAAAGTGCAATCTCCTACCTTTTCGCACTGGCTTCTTTAAACACTTCCATGGCCAGCATCCTACCTTAACTCATATTCATAGAATCATAGAATGGAATTGTTTAGGTTGGAAAAGACCTTTAAGATCATCAAGTCCAGCTGTTAACCTAACACTGCCATCCCACCACTAAACCATGTCCCTAAGCACCTCATCTATCCTTCTTTTAAATACCTCCAGGGATGGAGACTCGACCACTTCCCTGGGCAGCCTGTTCCAATGCTTGACAACCCTTTCTGTGAAGAATTTTTTCCTAATATCCAATCTAACCCTTCCCTGGTGCAACTTGAGGCCATTTTCTCTTGTCCTATCCCATGCCCACAGCTCTCCCCAGAAGCTATGGAGGAGCTGGGCTCCGGCATTAGGAGTTAAGGAGCTCACTAAGTGGATAGGCACCTAAACCACTTAGCAATACCAAAGTTGTTATGCATTTAATCCTGTGTTTTCATCTATGATTACACAGTGACTAGCACAGTAAGACATTACTTTTGTGCAAATAGTTACAATTTAAAAAAGGAAAACAAAGAAAGAAGAAGGAAGAAGAGAGAAGAAAGAAAGAAAAAAGAAAAATGAAAAGAGAAAAAATAAAAATAAAAATGGAAAAAAGAAAAAAGAAAAAGGAAGAAAAGTATCTTCTTTTGAGAGAATATTGTTCAGGGAAGCAGATCATATTTGGTTTGCTAAAACCACTGCCCTTTAGAAAGGTTTTTTAAATGGTCAGGGACAGAACAGATATGCGCTGAAGGAGAGATGATAATGGGAAAGTAATTATCAGAACTAGAAATAGCATGTCCTAATAGCTCTACTGTAAACATATAATTGTTTTTCATAGTAATTTTTTCATCCTTTGGTGTTTAATGTTTTGTATTAATTACAACTTTCCTGTAATAGATTTGAGAATCTCCCATAATGAAAACTGAAACTCTGCACCTAGCATGGTTATGGCTTTATCTATGTCAGCCAACAATAAAACAAAATCCTTCCTTTTTCCCCCTTTTGAAATTATTATCTTTCCACTCAGGAAAAGAATTATAGGGGTGTTCTTACTTCACTCTAAGGCATTTTCCTAAACTGACCATTTCATATATCTTTTGGGAGCAGGCCAGAAGCAGGGGTGATACGTGATGCTCAGGGCAAATCAGATCTAACACTTTGGTTCAGACTTCTCCCTTAAAATCATAATTCCTGTGGTTTCCCCAGGCTCCAGCTGCATAAAGTAATGCTATAGCTACTTGTTAATAGGGGACAGATTTTGGCTGCATCTCTTCAATATCCCTGGTGCAAGTTGCAAACTGGTCTATGCCTAAAATGGACAAGTTAGTGTTCTGTGTAGCAATATTAGACAATGGCACATCCTACTATATTAATAAAAAAATGGTGATTTTAATCAGTTTACCTCATTTTGAACAACTTAAGATCAGAGGCAAACATGTTTATGTCATCTCTCAAGAGGTCCTCCTCTGATGACACTGAAGACTGCAGGGCACTTGACTGTAAACATGGGAGGTGACCCCAGAGCTCTTCCTTTCCTCTCCAATGTGAAGCAGTTGCTTCACAGTAGACATGTATTTGATAAAATTTTCCTTTTATTGTCAGCTTAACCCATGCAAAGCTCTCAATTTATGCCCAAGGTTTTCAAATAGCTCATGGTGTGCTTAATGAAGCTCCTTCTGGCACTGTTGGACACATACAAGTGTGTCTGTAATTTCACACCACTCTTTTTCTCATGCAGCCATCCATATCGTTGCCCACTTGATCAACATCGAGCGGTACCATACCAGCCAGTCAAAGGAAGCTGGGGAGTTACGGAATAAACTTTCTGGCCTTGGCAAGAGCCCAAATGAAAGCTACTTGAACCCAATCAGGACCTATGAAACGGTAAGCTGTCACTTTTTGGTTTTCCTCATCTAAAAAGTTTTCCTCTGTGGATTCTATTGTCGGTAAAACTGTATTTCAAAGCCTTTTAACCAGAGCAAGAAGGTGCTGCCAAAGGTTAACCTCAATTTCAGCTGAAAACACTTACTCAGAGCTGCAATTTTCAGGTTACTAAGCTCAAAGAAGTGTCTACAGTATTTTAATTAGTTTGTCAGGAGACAGTTCGGGGGGATTAGGAGTATTGTGAATAGTAGACAATGAAATGAACCTGCAAAGAATTTAAAAAAACCTAAACTACCAATACATGGAAAAAACACAACTTCTTTCCAGAAAGGAAAAAACCCAATATCACATAACAACATTTCTTTCACAGTTGCTACTTGTCTATCCCCATGGTTGCGTAGTATCTTCCAATCTGGGGGTTGATTCTGCCCAGTTACATGTCAAGTGCAGCTGCCCAGGGGAGAAAAACCACCCGGAGGATTGATGCATATAGGAGTCAGGGCACTGGGAACCTAGTGGTGGTGCATGCTCTTCAGAGGCGAGCAGGACTTTGTGCACCTCAGCCCTGTAAATAACTGGTTCCGCTTGCTTTGGGGAAGAAAAGTGACTGTCTCCTGTCCACTTCCTTGGCTATCTCACAACAGCATGGGGAGACAAGCTATTCTTTGTAGTACTCATGAAGAAAAACAGATCCTTTCTGCAATGCATGCATGTAAAACATGTAAAAAATAATAAGCTTTTTTCCTTATTCCATCATACTATACATCATATAGATGTTATTTGTTTGCTTATGTATACCATTGTATACTCTTGTATACTCCGGGGTTGAAATGGCCCTCCGAGACCCCCACACACTTTGTTTCTGCTCTTTAGAAACTTCCTACATGGCCAGCATGCAATAAAGGCTGCATGAATATGGTGTGGGGCTCTTTCAGTTAGCGGTGTGATCCACTGAAACAAAGTGAGATGATGGCTGGACAGCCATCAGTAGGATTTGATAGCACTTTTCAGTTACAAGGCATTTCATCCTATTTTTTCCTCAGTTCCCTTCCAGTTTAGATAATGTGATTTTTTTTTGCATCTTTCAAAACAAACAAGTAAACAATTCTCAAGTTTGAAGAAAACCAAGCAAATGAATGATCTCAATGGTGTGAACACAAAAGTCTTGATGTTAGTGTTGACAAAGTAGTTAGGTTTCTCAGAACAGGACAGCAAGCAGAGTAAGCTGCCCAGTCTTTCTGCACGCCTGGTGCCCACGTTTACCACATGCAGGTGAGATGTTTCCCAAGAACAGAACAGAGCTCACAGCTCTGAACAGGAACCTACTGTCTTTCAGTATGCATTTTTTTTCTCCACTAAGCCTTCCCATGGCAATATAAATGTGAGGTCGGCCTCTAATTAACATTAAGATCTTAAACTCCCTTGAGGAGGAAGGCTAGCGTTTTCTGAGATCCTCTCCCAGATTTCTCACAGTAATATGCCCCGCAATTACCAGTGTACATTTTACCCTAACCTCTAATATTTATATTTGTTTTATCGCCCACTTGTATCTCAGTAGTTACACTCAGAATTAATAAATTATGAAGGAAAGCAAATAAAAGATTGCTTCTAACTTCAGAGAAGAAAGTTCTGAGAGCAACAGTTCAAGCATTCTTTCCAGTTTCATCCTACCCCTGTAGTAGCAATGCACTAAGTGTCTTTGACATTTTTCCTTGTTTCATCTCAACATTCAAACTAGCCACTGTAATGGAAATGTTCAAAATATCACCTAGATCAATCCTGTTAATATGTAATAGGATCTGAACACACTCCTCACAGGCACCAATTTGAAAATGTACTGTGTGCTGTCAAGTGTGAACATTTGAAAGAATGATTTTACTGTAAAAAGTGACTGTAAAAATGGCATTGTGGAATTTTATCACCTCTAGGATTTCCATATCAAATGAGTGCACTTTACAAGTACAATACAGGGTTTTTTTTTTCTCCCAATATATTAAGCTGTAGAACCAACTCAGGATCCAGAGGGCATGCCGAGCACCTTCATTCCTGCACATCAGCACCAGGAAAACAGATATATATGCTTTGCAGGCCAAATATGGACTTCATTTACACTCTGCTGGCATATTTAGCTTGAGTCTCATCTTGCATGTGAGGTTTTTACTGCTGTTCTTCACAATTTGCACTTTATAACTGAGATCAGCATCTGACTGTTGTGTTCAAAATACATCTTCATTCTCACTTCGGTTTATTTTGGTGAGTTCAGACAGATGTAACAGACCTGTGCTGATGTCTGTGAGTCATGAACAAGAAGGAACATGTTCAAGACCAGCATATTAATGTTTCATCACTGACAAGCATAAAAATGTAAATATAAATATGTCTTTTAAAAAAATAAACCAAGTATTACCCAATGTACCTCCAAGTAAATGTAAGGAACGGGTAAATGAGATATACTGTTTAGGTAACTGAGAGCATGCCACTTTTATACAGCATTTCAGGGCTGCTAAACCCCCACAAACTGAAGTAAAATAAGCACAAAAGAGCCATGCACCTTTATGGTTGCAGGTGTCTTAGCACCTCACTTTATCACCCTCATATGAATAAGCTGTTTTCTAGTGCTGTTTTGCTTATTACACCTCTAGGTTTAATCTTCTCATTTCTCTAATCATTTTCCTTTTTTTCTGAGACACTTTTACATAAGCAAAATAGATAAAAGTACTAATGAGGCTGCCTAATTTCCTCCTTTCAATTCCTGAAACAAATAAGTGGCAGCAAGTATTTACACATCCGTCTGGGATAAGCCTGACTGGAAATAGAACAGAGGGATGTTTTTCCATGTTCTTCTGTGGTAAAATGGAGGCTTGCCTTGCCTCCATGTCTTGCTGGTTTTGTTCCTATGCAGAAAATATATCTTAGATTTTGGCTTCATATGTAATAGCAGCAACAGTAACAGTAATAGAAGTACTAATAAAAATAACAATTATAACAACAACAACTAATAATACTAATGCAAATACTAATACTAATATTAATAATGTATTCTTATTCTAGAATACAACAGGAGAGGTACTAAACACCATAGCTGGCGTAACTGGAGTTGTGATAACTGTGGCTTTAATTCTGATCATAACTTCATCCACTGAGCTCATCAGAAGGTCATGCTATGAAGTGTTCTGGTATACCCATCACCTCTTTGTGGTTTTCTTTATTGGTTTAATAATCCATGGTATGGGGTAAGTGTCTGCATAAACTTCATGGGGTATATGTACACAGTTTGAAATGAAACAGAATTCAAATCTATAATCCTGCGCTTTTCTATTAACAAACTGCTGGGATCTTTGCTTGGAGACAGATTGTGAAATGAAAGCATTTTGAAATTAAAACACACCACTCTTCTGAGGACTGAAAGTGTGGTTTAGTTTTCTCAGCCACTCTTACACCATCTTACAAGCTGCACCTTTTCAGTGTATCAGTCCAAATGAACTGCCATCCCTGAGAACTGGGGACGTGGCAGATTAGGAATCAGACCTTTAGTGGATTCAAATTAGTAAGGGATAGACCATATGCTCATAGCTCTTGTAAGGCATTCTGTGAGAGAGCTTGTACAAGCTTGACAAGCTTTCAGCATGTCAGCTATCTGGTGGCGAATGTCCCTGTGCCCATTCTCCTCTACATCCGTAAACGTAAAGTAGTTTTCTCCTTCTTTCTCTGCGGGGAAAAGAACTTCAAATTTCCTCACTGTAGAGAAATAGGCACTATACTATGAACCAGGTTTAAATGACTATGGTAACAAACAACTCAAGTTTATGACTAGCCCAGTCAGGTGGCTTTTATGGAGAGGGATGCCTGCCCAGGTCACTGATTGTCTCCCTGTTCCTCAGCACAAGAGGAAGGTCTGTCCCGTTGGTACAGGGCTCCGGTTCTCACACTGAGGGACAGCAGGGTCAAGGGAGCCTCCCTGAGAAACTCAGGGGCTGATAAATCCTCTGTTGATGCAGAGTGAGAGCAAAAGGGTGCCTACTGCTGCAAACATTTCCATCTTCCATTTCCAGCTCCACTGACATCTTCTGCTGCTTCTCCCTTGTGTGCTTCCCCCCATTTCCTTTTCTCATTTCTTTGCAATAGTGTTAATGTGAATCTACAGCAGTGCATCTACATTAACATTTTAATTCAGATAGTGAGTGCGGTTTTGATCCAGTCTTGTGGTCCTCCTCACCTCCTATGTTTTGGTTCATACTGTGGTGCAACCTCAGGCTGCATAACACAGTGTTTGGGGATGAAACTACACTGACAGTAACGTGTCTCTATGTGCCAAGCACTAACAAGTGATCCGTTCACAGGATCAGACCCGACCTAGTCCTAAGCCCTAGGTAAACCTCAAACGTGTACAGCG